GGCATTGTAGCTTCACAGAATAGTGGCAAAGGCATACAATGGGGGTATCTTTGTACTCAGCAGATGTAGCTGAACACAATATGGGGTTCTGTGCAGGGATAGCACATACCAGCTTTACAAAATACACGTTACAAAAACCTTGATATATGGGTATATGCCAAAATAGAGAAAAAACACAATTTTACTCCAATATTTAGAAGAGATTGGCAATGAAATGGCTATGTAAAAAGTGTCAAAATATCCTTAGGTAAATAGCCTGTAATGTATACTTTATATAAATATATACTTTTGTGTGGCAATTTTGTTTTCTGTGATGGGTATTAAACTTCCAAGACAAACATACCAACTTCTAAAAAAAATTTCACATTGAAATTTTATTTTAGAACTTGTATTTTGTGACCTGTAACTTTCAAAATAAACTGAAATCCTACACATATTATGTACTCTGTATATCAAGTATACACATAAATGAATTGATTTTGAATTACTTTTCCTAATCTGGACATATTATGCATGTGCTATTATTGCCAAAACTGGGAGAAAAATGCATCTCAACCCTGCCCATTATTTTGCATTTTTATTGTAATAAATGAGAATTTATTTATGTATACGTCACATCAAATTAAAGACCATTTTGACATCTAAAAAATTGTATATAATATGTGTTGGTACAATAAATGAGCGTTTGAACACAAACAGCAACAAAATGCAAAAAAATGCTAGTGCCCGTAAGGGTATGTCCAGCTTCTGAGGCTGTGTCCTTAAGGGTTAAAGGGATACTAGAGGCACCAAAACTATTTTAGCTTAATGTAGTAGTTTTGGTATTTAGATCATGCACCTGCAGTCTCACTGCTTGATTCTCAAATCAATTTATTTATGTAACTTGGCAATGAATGAGTTATGGCCTTCCTAAACACTTTTTGTAAACAGAGATCAAATGTTTAAACTTTCTTTATTGCACATTCTGTTTAATTTAGAGCTTATTATCACATGTTCTGTTAATAGCCTTCTAGATACTGCAGGAGCCTCATGTGTGTGATTAAAGTTACATTAAAACTTCTAAAGTAAATTAACATCTGATTTACAATGTAACCACTTTTTTCATGTAGGCTGTGTGAGCCACAGTCAGTGGAGATGTGGCTAGGACTACATGGACATAAACAAAAGTGATTTAACTCCTAAATGGCAGAGAATTGTGCAGGGGCATGATCTACACACACAAAAGTGCTTCATAAAACTAAAGATGCTTTGATGCCTCTAGTATCCCTTTACATTTACCATTATTTATAGGTTAAAAAAGAGATCCCAGTAATATAGATTTGATGGTGTAATTGAAATTAATGTGCACAACTTTTTTTAAATGGAACTTAGCTGAGATATTACTCTTTAGCTGCACTAGGTATGCACAAATCGATCAACTAGCCGAAAAAAGTTGACCACACATAAAAGAATGTCTGTGAAAATTGTGTATTCTGGCATTAACAATGTGACCAATACCAATTCAAACCAAAACTGCTGTTAAAAAGATTTTTGAAAAAAAAGTGATCTCATTGCAGAAATGTCACAATGTTTCCATGTTAAAAATGCAGCTGAATTATAGAACTTTGTAATAGAATTGTGCAGGGCAAGACTATTTAACTTGGTCAAACCATTTTCCCTGAAAAAAGAAAAAACTAATGTTTCAGCTGAATGTCGATTCAGCTCAGCAGAATTTTGGTACCCAAAACCCAATTCAGGAATTTAATTAGATTAACCCAAAGGATGTATAAATGGGTCAATCAGTGTACTGCAAAATATATACATGGTATAATAGTATGTATATAGTTTGCACAGTATACTGATAGGAACATTTTTCCTCCATTTGGTTCACAGATCAAGTGAGAAAAATGATTAAATTAATAGTGGGAAAAACACAAGGAGCAGTAAAAAAAATAAATAAAAAAATCTTTATTTTTATATATGTATATATGCGGAGGCCAGATTAAAAGTCCCTGGTGTTTAGTGATGGGGAAGTAGAGACTCCTTCCTGCTTCCAAGTCAGCATGGGTTGCATATGTAGCTCCTTCATTCTAGACGCAGTGAAGGATAATGGAATCCTCTACAGGACAGTGGCAGAGGTGCTGTATGCAGTAGGCTGCTTCTTTTTTTTTCATTTTACAAATATAGAAGATTTAAATAGAAATTACCCCATTTATGATTTAACCAAGTTGCACTCCCTGGCTGATTGGAAAGTCTGTGACTGGACATCCACAAAAAGTCTGTGCTGGGAAAATACAAAGCTTACAGAGGCTGCACATAGCATAACTTTTGCAAGCTGGTTATACAACCCCAATAACAAAAAGCAACAACAAATTGGCAACAAAATAAATAACATACATTTCATTGAAGTGTTCCTTTAATCTAGGCTTCTCCAAACTCCGGCCCTTCAGATGTTGCTGAACTACAATTCCCATGATTTTCAGCCTATCTATTTCATTCATAGAATCATGGGAGTTGTAGTTCTGGAGGGTCGGCGTTTGGGGAAGCCTGCTTTAATCATTAACCTAATGTGATTTGTCAGACATTTTTATCCAATCTAACACCCTTTTAAAAGGACAGTCTAAGTACCAAAAGCTATGAAGCTTGCACAGATATATAGTGTCGTATAATAATTTAGTCATTTTTTAAAAGTATAATTTGTCAAATAACCAGTATTTAATTGTTTAATAATGTTATATATTTTTGACTAATATATTTTTTTTTATGTACACTTGTTTAACTTCATTAACCCTTTAAGGACCAAACTTCTGGAATAAAAGGGAATCATGATATGTCACACATGTCATGTGTCCTTAAGGGGTTAAGGGATCACTATAGGATCTGGAACACAAACATGTATTCCTGACCTTACAGTGTTAACACCACCATCTATCCCCCCTGGGCCCCTCATGCCTCCATAAATATAGCAAATTCTTACGGTATTCAAGCCTGAAGCTGTAACTCTGCATGCTGTTAGACTCAGAAAAAACAAGCAGTCTGCTTACATCATTAGAGGTGGTGGCCTGATCCAATCACAGTGCTTCCCCATAGGATTGGCTGAGACTGACAAAGAGGAAGATCAGGGGCAGAACTAGCATAATTCAAACACAGCCCTGAGCAATCAGCATCTCCTCATAGAGATGAATTGCATCAATGAATCTCTATGAGGAAAGTTCAGTGTCTGCATGCAGAGGGAGGAGATATTGAATGTTTGGATGCATTTTAGGCAGCCATGACCCAGGAAGGATCTCTAACAGCCATCTGAGGAGTGGCCAGTGAAGTTATCACTAGGCTATAATGTAAACACTGCATTTTCTCTGAAAAGACAGTGTTTACAGCAAAAAGCCTGTTGGTAATGATTCTACTCACCAGAACAAATTCAATAAGCTGTAGCTCACTCACCAGAAATAATGCTTTTTCTACTGGGCAAAAAGGGATAGGTTTTACAGAAAGCAAAACCCGCAGCAAAGAATATGTATGATTTTAAGCAGGTAGGCCCTGGGGAGATAGCGCAGCTAAGTGGACAAGGGACATGTAGGAGTGTGTGGATAGATGCGTGGGAGTGTCTTGGGAAGTGTGTGTGGGTGGGGTTAGGTTCCATGTGAGTTAGTGTCTTACCTCAGTGCCACTTGGGAGTCGGGCCAGCAAACAGCTTCCCGCCCGCCCACCCCTTGTAGGATTAGTTAGTCACAGCGAGCCGGGGGTATGTCCTTGCCAATTAAGTTTGAGGGGTTATGTTTAAGGATGGAGTAAATTTCATCATGTTTGCAGGTCTCAACCTCCATTGCTTCAAAGGGTTAACATTAGGTTGCCTGAGGTGTCGTGCCCATCGAGCGTGGATAAGGTCGGCTGATGGGGGTATTGGAAGGATATGATTTATGACGAGGGGAGAAGTGAGAGGAAGTGGTGATTAGGAACCACTGTATGTTTATTGGCAAGGACAGTTGGGTCATTGTATAACACTATGTGTTGAGTTATATATGTATATATGTTAATTTATGCTTATTTATGTCTATCAATTTTGGTTACAGAAAAGAAGATATTTATTAAATAAAGTTATGGATGTGCTATGCAGTAATTTATTTATGTTATAATAAATGCTGTGGCCTGTTCATCCATACTAAGTTGTCTGTTGTTATTGGGGGGTTGAATGGGGTAAGTTATGTATTATGCTGCAATTCCCCACTACGTACATACAAGGAAACATTTGCTTCCAAAAATAGTAAATGCATGATTTTCTCAACTGAAAATTTATTTAATATATATTTTGCAACTTAGACATTCCATTTAAGTACTAATAGACACACTTAGTACTATTAGGAGTAAATTACTTCTTTATTCTGCATCAAATCAAGTTTTCTCTAGGGTGAGGCTGTCTGACATCTTCCTCGGTGCCATTTAACTGAATTAAAAATATACTCTAATGATAATCTCACTAGGGACACCTGAATGGCTCCTCCACATTCCTTTTATTTCCATTAGTTCTTAAACTTTTGCAAGAGTGTACTTGAACATTGGAAAAACCAAACTTACAATTATCACAATAATAAGATGTTACTTCCCCAAAATGTTCTGCATCTCAGCTACTGAAAAGGACCCAAACTCTTGCTAATTTGACATAAACTTGAAAAAAAATATCTTATTTGGGCATAGTGCAATCTGCATCACTTTGTGATGCATTCTTGACCAATGATGCTAAATTTTCTTCATTTTACTTTCATAGTTATATAGAAAGTCAAATGGGAATAGCAGTGGAAACTACAACACATGATGGAGGGACCACATGGTCCTTTCTGTGTAATGTAATGGCTATACGGACCTGCTTTACCTTCAGTGACATACTTTTTTTTTACAGTCTTTATTTTAAATAAAAAATAAATAAAAAGAGCACATTTAGGGATAAATGAATCGCTAAATTTTGGCAAAATGAAAACGCTTGACCAGTTGTACAAGAGACAGCCTACTAAAGATGTGTAAACAAATAGATAGATAACTATATTTAGGAAGAAATCCTCATATAGTAAAATCTTGGGATAAGAGTAGCCGATAAAAACCACTGTGCCACTAGTACAATTAGTAACCACCACCAAAGGTTACAGAAAAGGGTATATATGGAGGGTACTGATTTGAAATTAATCAAAAAAGATATGAACTGGGCTCAGTGGAAATATCAAGTAACATGGATCTTGAGTGAGTCCTGATAAAATACAAATGTTCCAGCTGATCGGACCTAAACCTCCTATATAGTGAGGCAGGTAGTATCCACCAGCTGCAAATGGGTTAATAGTATTATTATTTATACAATATTATTATGTTTGGAGAATCTGCTGTTTTGGTGAATGGAGGGTTAATCCAACAACTATATGCAATTAATTGATTGAAGTTAGGGAGTATATAAGAAGTTAATGCTCCTTTGATGCCATCCTCTGATGAAGTGATTTGAAATCACGAAACGCGTAAGGAAGGCATCCGACGACCATCAGTTCCTGAGAGAGAGACTTGGAACGCATAGCCGCAGTGAAACGCACGCGGAGAATACCCGGTGTCAACCTAGCACGAGGCAGTCCTCCTCTTTCTCTGTCCGGCCGGCGAGAGAAAGTAACGTCTATCTATCTTTTTTGGACCCTCAGTCTACTGTGACCCGGTAAAATATCCAAATATCTACCTCTCTTATGTGGGACTGTTTTACATTTTAACCATTTTATCACTGTTAGTCTCTCTATATATGTTAGTGTGCTGTTCAGACAATAAAGTATTAATTAGCTACATGTCTGCTGTGCATATATTTGACTAACTTTGGACTTCTATTTTTTACATTTGCATTATTTTTTACATTTGCATTTTTTTGCATTTTATATTATGCATACCCTCTTTTAAAGGGGTATGTTAGACATTTTGTATTTGTGGTATTGATTCTTAGATATACATAAGATCTTTACTATATTAACCCATTTGCAGCTGGTGGATACTACCTGCCTCACTATATAGGAGGTTTAGGTCCGATCAGCTGGAACATTTGTATTTTATCAGGACTCACTCAAGATCCATGTTACTTGATATTTCCACTGAGCCCAGTTCATATCTTTTTTGATTAATTTCAAATCAGTACCCTCCATATACTAAAGATGTGTATAGACTGACAACATCAGGTAAACTTTAAATAATGAAAATCAAAAAATCTATGAATACCTATATAAAAAGATAATACAAAATGTATAGCTAGTAACATCATATGAATAAAATAGTGGGGGAAAAGAAAAAGTAGATAGTGTATGGCAATTATTCACAGAACATAATTAAAAAGCTCTAGGTTTAATTAGGCAAAGAGCGGCAAAGAAACATAGTGCAGGGGACTTGGTCTCACTGACCCTGCAAAGAAGCAGTGAGAGATTCCTTGGAATGCAATTATTTAACTTTGATCTATTGCTGGAGGATAGGAACAACAGAGATCTTCCAGAGAAGTAAATTAATAATTTAGATGCATTTAGAAGATTCTCAATGAAGAATTTTTGTAATTATCAACTGAAACAGGCGAGAGGGAAAAAAGCATATCTTCTGGAATAACAAACTTTTAAACCTAAGCACTGTCTCTACAAATACATGGTTTGTCAAAATATAGTGCAGCTTCTCATCAGAACTCCAGTTACAGGGGACTCCACTTATTTTCAAAGTATCCGATTTATCTACTGATAACAGAGCTGGATTTCCCATTAGGCAGAGTAGACACCTGCCTACAGGTCTTGCATAAAGTGACGGTTTACAGCCTTGGCTAGTCAGCCTCCTGTGCTGCAGGAACAGTTATAAAAGGTGTAAAATAAAAACATCATACAATACTAAATGTAATCACATTCTAAGCCTAAATCCAATAATTTTAAATACCCCATTATACCACAACTATAACGCCTTTAAAGCTTTTTAATTCTCTTAACACTAAACATGTAATCTAACTCTGACATTAACCCCACTCTAACCTTTCCCCTTATCATGTCTACCATTATCTTTAACACTGCATGAAATTACACAGCTGCATACTTATATGAGAATAAATATGCATATACAGTTATAAACAAATCAATGAGTGGTAGTTGCACAAAGAAATATATATCTGTAAAGTGTAATAGGTATGATAGTCTCTTTGTGGAGGGTCAAGATACCTTTTACCTTACTGCATATACAGATAGAATTATATACGTCTTTTATGTTTTATACGCCACCTTTACCCTGAGGACATTTGCTGTTCCCATATCCCAGAGCAGAGATCATACTGCTCAATGTTATACTACTAGAGTTTTCAAAAAGCTCCTTCTAAGTGAGTGGTCATTTGTCTTCTTATGATACTATATGTTACATGGGATACTACACTATAAGTCTTTTATGTTTATGTTTTTTGGGTCTTCACTATCATCTTCCACAAAGAGACTACAATACCTCTTGCACTTTACAGCTATATACGTCTTTGCACAATTACCACTCTTTGATTTGTTTACTTGTGATATTTTTGTAGGGTTAGAGGGAACCTCACCTATTCAGGTTGTTTGCTACCTACTGTCAAGTACAATCTCCCTAAAACACAAACAAAGGGGCTCTTACCGATACACAAACCAAGCCGTATTACAGGGCCTTAGTGTGGTCGAACTTAACATATATGTGGCAGCCACCTGGATAGAGACACGGGTCTCACTGCCAAGGATGTCCTTTTCCCCTTCTCTGGAACTCTGCTGCGGTGGATTCAGTGATTATAGCTGCAGAGTGATTATAGCTGCTACTTGATTATAGCAAGACACAGAGGAGGAGTTTGTGTTGAACTGTATGGAGACTGCTGGCTGTCTTTGTATAAATTGCGTGTACCATGTCCCATTAAATCAGTTCACTCCCAGCATTAAGTCTCTGCTAATGTCTGTGGGGGAAAGCTATAATCCCCCACAGACATTAGCCGAGACTTAATGCTGGGAGTGAACTGATTTAATGGGACACGGTACACGCAATTTATACACAGACAGCCAGCAGTCTCCATACAGTTCAACACAAACTCCTCCACTGTGTCTGGGAGATAATTGAGTTTACTCTGCTTAAACTAATTATCCAACAGGCACAGAGATACAAAATAAAAAAAAAAATACATAAAACACCCCAATACACATACAATATTAGAAGGAACCCCCACAATCATATATCCCCAGATAGCATGGATCTGAGCGCCCAGAGGGTCCAAATAGAGCTCAGATCCCACAAATACAGCCAAATCAACACCGAGGTAAAGTTTTGACTGACCACACAGATGGTGCCTGCCCAAAATAGTTCCATAAGAAAAGTGGTAGCGGTCAGTCACTTTCGGGAGTCCCAAAACAAAATAAATACAGAGAAAATCTCCTGGCTCCTTGGTAGCAATTGTTTGCCTAGTTCGTGCGAACAATCCTACGGAACAGCGCTCTCCTGAGAAGTTTAGAGAAGAAGCAAGCGATGGTATCAGTTCAGCGGTGTTCGCGAGTTAGTCTGTCTGATTTTAGTTCCATGCACTTGACGTCCAAACACTGCTGCCTGCTTTCGTGCAACAAGATGATCGCCAACTTATTTCCCACGTGTAGGTCCATGCACCCAGTCCACCCAGCAGAACACTTGAGTTAACTAGGTGTGAACAGATGATGGAGGTGTCAGGAGAAGTCAATAGGGGTTAACAAGTCAAGAGGTGGTCCGAGTATGGGGAATATAAACAGTTTGGTCTGTTCCCAAACCATAAGTAATAAATGAACTGCAGCAATGGTTTGTGAATGGATGTCCTGTCACAGTATATATGAGTACAATGAGAAATATAGGATAGTCAGACAGACCAAGGTCAGGATTGGAGATGGAAGGATAAATGTAGAACAAAGCCAAGGCTCAAGGATACCAGAAGAATGGATATCATCTTCCTGTCTGCCCGCACCGCCCACGCCTCGCCCCTTCTGACAGTCCCTACATTGGCTTTCTGTAAAATATAGGGCTTAATTTAAAATTCTGGTTCTTGCTTTCAAATATCTACATAATGCTGCTCCGACCTATCTATCCTCCCTAATAGACAAGTATGTCCCGTCTAGGCCCTTACGCTCTTCTGAAGACTTACGTCTATCTTCTGTCTGTACTCCCACCTCTGATGGTCACCTTCAAGACTTCTCAAGGGCTGCACTGTTCCCGTGGAACTCACTTCCCTCCTCTGTTAGATGCTCATCAAGTCTCCACTCCTTCAAAAAATCATTAAAAACCCACTTCTTCATAAAAGCGTATGAATTAAACTGTTAATAGCTCCCGACTGATTCCTCTTGCAACTGTCATTAGTCAAATACTATTCTTACCTTTTGTGTCACTTTACCACACTCCCTCTAGCATGTAAGCTCATTGAGCAGGGCCATCAACCCTGTCCTTGAATAGGATAGGGATATAAATGCTGTGAAAAAATGTACTTTGATTCCAAGGTTCAAGCTTATAGGAGTTATATTACATATCCTATATTAAAATTGGCTAACTTGGACTCAGGAAATGCTTAATGCTTAAAACGAAACTTAAGACCATATATGTCTAGTCCCGAGAGCAGAGAGCCCCCACGTGAGCTGTCTCTCCTAAATCAGTCTGTTCTTTCCCTTTCTCTGAACTTATCTGCTATATGTACGTGATGTGCATCCCTATGTCTTATCTGTACTCCTTTCACCCTTTCACTCCCTTCTTACTACTGTCCTATGAGTATGTGCACGTAGCACTTACATTTTAATGTATAAAAACACAACTGACAAAATAAAGGTCAGAGGCTTATTTTGACTACCAACAGGTGTCTGGTGTCTAATTCACGCTTCTCCAAGTGCACTTGAAATAATAATTTGGGCTGCCTTGAATATACCAAAGATTACATTAGATCTATATCAATGCCAACCTCAACCTCAACTTCAACTGGGCATGGGACTTAATGCTCATGAGCAAAATAGTAGCTGATTAATAGTAGATTAACATAAAACTCAGGTGTTGGTCCATTCCACTGTCCTTTCTCGCCTTGACTACTGCAATCTGCTTCTCAGTGGTCTTACGTGCTCCCAACTTGCGCCGTTACATTCCATAATGAATGCGGCAGCGAGGCTCATCTTCCTGTCCGCCAGCACCTCCCATGCCTCACCCTTCTGTCAGTCCCTACATTGGCTTCCTATAAAACATAGAGCTCAATTTAAAATTATGGTTCTTGCT